TGTGGGTCCATGCCTGTGTCCTACCTACACATCCTCGTGCTCCAGCACAAGAGTATAGAGAGAGGGGTGAACCTACCACCGCTTCTGCTCCTCCTCAACCACAAAACCCAGAGGCAGAACTCAGAAGCAGAGAGGGAGGAGGATGGGTAGTGGAGCTCCCATAGGGACAAAACATGTTGAAGAACTTCAGCTAAGCTAAGGACCCTCTCCTTCTTCTTCGAGTCCCTATTGGTGTTCCACATCGGGAGATTCCCTAGCAGTGCCTCAGTATGGAGGAGGATGCTGAGGAGGTGGTTTCGGTAGAGATTGGAGATCAGCATCGCCAAAGGCCGCAGCCGCCCTGAAAGCAGTCAAGACTCCATAGTGCTTGGAAAATGTGTGCGCGGACGACCAGGTGACGGTCCTGCAAATGTCTGTGATGGGTATGTTCTCAAGTAGGACTATGGAGGTGGATTGCGCCCTAGTGGAATACACAGTCACCCTAGGGCAGGGGTTCTCAAACGTCATTGCACTGCGACCCCCATCTGACAACAAAAATTACTACATGACCCCAGGAGGGGGGGACAAAGCCTGAGCCTGGCCGAGCCCCGACGCCCCGGGCAGGGAAGCCAAAACCCAAGCCCACTGCCCAGATGGGGGGGCAAAGCCAAAGCCTGAGCCTTGCCACCCAGGGCTGAAGCCCTTGGGCTTTGGCTCCGGCCCTGGGCGGTGTGGCTTGGGCTTCGGCCCTGAGTCCCATCAAGTCTAACATCAACCCTGATGACCCCATTACAACGGGGTCCTGACCCACAGTTTGAGAACCGCTGCCGTGGGGGAGATGTGCTCCAGAAGCTTTGTAACCTGCCAAAACGCACCCCAAAACCCATTCTGACTGTCTTCGAGTGGAATTCAGTTCTCCCTTCATTTTTTCTGTGAAAGAGCGAGTGTGGGAGAAACGCTGAAGAGTCCTACTGAGGGAGAAGGCAAGAGCTCTACACACGCAGAGGATGAAGACTGGCTTCTAGCAAAGTTATGAATTTAAGCTCCCAGGTTCATCTTTTGAAAGTGTTGTTGACACTAAGAATCCTGACTGAACAGAGACCCTGCATTTATGGATTATAACAGCAATCTGTAACCCACTAACTCCCTTTTTGTCCTGTATCGGAGGTAGCCGTGTTAGTCTGTATCCACAAAAACAACGAATCCGGTGGCACTTTAAAGACTTACAATATTAGAACAAAAAAAACCTTCAAAAACAGACTCCAACGAGAGACTGTTGAATTGGAATTAATTTGCAAACTGGACACCATTAAATTAGGCTTGAATAAAGACTGGGAGTGGATGGGTCATTACACAAAGTAAAACTATTTCCCCATGCTTATTTTCCCCCTACTGTTACTCACACCTTCTTGTCAACTGTTGGAAATGGGCCATCCTGATTATTACTACAAAAGGTTTCTTTTCCTCCTGCTGATAATAGCTCACTTTAACTGATCACTCTTGTTATAGCTGGTATGACAATACCCATTTTTCATGTTCTCTCTGTGTGTGTGTGTATATATATATATATATAATCTTCCTACTGTATTTTCCACTGCATGCATCCAATGAAGTGGGTTTTAGCCCACGAAAGCTTATGCTCAAATAAATTTGTAGATCTCATAGAGTTGTTCAACCCCAACCAGGTTATACAAATCCTCCAATGTAGTGACAGCTGCACCCTTAGCCCATTTGTGGAGATAGTTTCCCCTCGGGGGAGTGGCTTCCATGCAGGTCACACCCTGGGTTTTTTTCACACCCCAAAACCTTTTCCTATAAGCCTCAGGGGTCAATTCAAACTTAAGCAGTAGAATCTTTTTGAACTGTTCAAAGGCCCCAGTATCAACTCTGTCCAACTGGCTATACGTCTCTAGGGCTTTGGGACCGAGCAAGGGGGTGAGCCAGTGGATCCGGTTCACAGGGTCAGCCAGGTTCAACCCGCAAGCCTCTTCAAAGTCAGTGAGGTCAGCATTATATCCCCCCCTCCTTAAACTTGGCAACAATTTGGTATCTAGACTCCCTGCAGAAATGGCATCCCAAGGTCTTTCCCCATTTACCCCCTGTGGTCCTCTTTCCCCTTCCCCCGCATCTCCATCTCCAGTTCATGCTTCCTCTGCTTCTCACAGTTCTTCCTTCTCAGCTCCAACTCCCACCACCTCAAAGCTATTGCTGGGGAACCATGTCCTGCTGGACAGGGAACTGAGTCTTGAGGATGCCCTGCTTCTCCCTCTGTCATTCTCGGACCTCTTGAAACCCAGTCTGGAACCTGTTTCCTGGACTGATCACCTTTCTCCAGACATGCCGTCAGCTGTGTCTTGTTGTGTTTCCCAACACTTAACCCTCTCTCCCTGCACAGGTTTGCGATGTCCTTCTTATGGAGGTGGTCATAAGACATTTTCTTGCTGTTTCCTTTGACTTACCTTGTTTTACTGTTGCAAGTCACTTATTGGAAAATACTACTGGTGCAGTCAGCATCCCACTTCTACCACCAACTGTCGCAGATCCACAGCATCAGTGCTACACCCCCAGCATTGGGACAGTCTCTAGGAGATACCCCTTCAGTGTGCCAGACTCCCAGGAGGTCTCATACTTCCTCCAGGGTAGGCCACATGGCCTGACCACCTCCTTAGACTGGACCTCTGGGCCGTCAGCTCCCCTGCTTCATACTATGAGCTCTGTTCAGCGAGTTCAACTGAAATAGATTCCTGGTAGAGACTTGTCCACTCTGCGGGGACTAATGCACCTCAGCAAGCATTTGCAATGACCCCCAAACAGCACTGTCAAAACAGTCGGGTTTGTATTAGTCAGCTGGAACACAGCATGGGAAGTTCTTAAGTTGGCAGAGAGAGCTGAAGGTTAAAGCACAGACCATTCTGGTCAGCCCAGAGCCCAGCCAGGCTGTAGTGAATCCTATTGGTCAAGCTCTGTCTGTCTCCATCCAACTTCTTTGGTCAGTTCCCAGGTGAGAGAGACTCCTTCCAGCAGCCTACTCTTATCCCCCACCTCACACCTCCCCAGTCCTTTGTTCTCGAGCTGGGGCACTGCTCAGCTTCCCAGCTGAGAGGTGGGGAAATCCATCGCCCTTTGGGGCCTTGGTTGCTAGGTGTCGATGTGCTGGTGACTGGATTTGCCTTTGTCTTTTCAGATTCTGCACTGATATGGGGCTGGCCTCAGCTAGTCCTTTTCAGTGACTCATCCCAGCTCAGACAGCCAGATGACATTCATACCATTGTCTCTGAGCCTGCCCTGGGAGCAAACAGTCCATTTCCACCCACTGGGTAACAACATAGCATATGGGGGAAACTGAGGCACATGTGGGAGTCATAAAAATATTACAGGAAATTCCCAGTTGGTCCCAAAGGGTCCCTGAAGAGGGACAGGGATGAGGAGTGGACAGGTGGGTGGAGCTGAATTGGATGGATTATCCTGTTGAAACCATTTCTTGGATCCATCTGTCTGAAATGATGAGATCCCAAGAAGGTAGGAAATGGGAGAGATGGTTTCCATAGGGTGGATGGTGGGTAGCTTGGAGCACCATAAGATCCAGAGTAGGGGGTGATTCATGACCCCCTACCCGTGGGTCAAAATGGCCACTTGGAGAAGGTCGCCAGTGGGGAGGACAGTGTGAAATGTGGACCTCTTTTTAGGTGGTTCTGCTGGTCTCGGGGAGGCTTGGTACTGATCTGGGTGAGATCGTTGTGCCATCTGCAACTTGCTGTGTTTTCTTTTCTTTTCTTTCTTTTCTTTTTTTTTTTTTGCAGGGGTGTATGCACGGAGGGCTCGCAGAGTCACTCTAGAGCCCCCAAGTGAGTGGCAGGATTCATCAGAGTCATCACTGAAGAGCTTGGGCCCTTCAAAAGGAAGGTTCCTCCGTGGTATTTTGCATCTCCCTGGGAAGGCCTGGAGCCTGCAGCCAGAAGGCTTGAGGTGTGACCAAGGTGTGAGGCTGTGCCTGTCACATGGAGAGAAGCCTGTAAGGAAGCTGTAGTGATTATCGGGCCTTCTGTGACCACAGCCTGAAACGGATCCCTTTGGGCCTGAGGCAAATGAGCAATCCAAAGTGAAAACTCGCTGTCATTTGGAAAGTCCCATTTTCCCATCAAGGCAGGATAGTTGGCGGCTCTGAACTGGAGAGCAGCTGAGGAACGGCTCTTGCAGCCAAGAAGCCCCAAACGCTTGAATTCTTGATTGGAGGGAGTCGATCTGGATTGACACTGTCCATTTGTTTCATTGAGAGCGTTGACTACCAGGGAGTTTGGGGTTGGATGGGTACGTAGTACTTTTTGTCTGCCTTGTTGCATGTGGGTGGTATGGTAGCTGGTGTATCCTATACCAAATGGGCTGGTGAGAGTAACGCGTCATAAACGAGCAAGGCAATCTTGCCTTGGGAGGAAGCATGTAAAATACTCAACCAGGGAGCATTGTATTTCTTGTATTTCCTCCAAAGGGCTTGGCCAGGCTTCTGATATTCTTTTATCAGCTCTTGAAAGGCCTTGAAATCCTCTGCATAGGGTGGGGGCCTCATCAGGTATTAGATAGTGGGGTCTCATCTCTTACCTCCTGCTCCTCTTGGGGGTGTCCTCCTGGGGAGGAGGGTCCTGAGGTACCAGTAGCTGCTGATCCAGGTGGGTCCTCTTGTGTGAGGGCACCTATAAAATTGGTCACCATAAGGGGCACAAGGGTTCCAAAAACCCTGTGGTGGAGCACAGAGGAAAGGAGTGGTACCCCAAGGGTGTTCCTACCAAGGTTGATGGGTAAGACATTGGCTGGTTCCTGAGGTCTCCTCCTAGGAGTAGACTTCTAGGGAGGGAGGTTGGAATGGGAAAGTGGTGGAGTCCTGGACAGAAATATCCAAGTCCAAGAGGTGTCATCTCCCATATCCAGAGGAGAGCTACTGGTGTTGGTATTGGTGGTTGAGTCTTTGTAGCATCACCAGGGACTCTGGTTTGAGGGGGTGTGTTGGTACCAGCTGTCATCAGATGTTTGGCTGCCTGTGTGTTCTTTCTGCGTGCTGTACTGACTCCAGCCAGAAAGCCCGTACAGCAGGCTGTGATCAAACGGCCCAATAAATCCACAGACTTGGTTCATAGGGAACTTGGTCAGGTTTATTGTCAACGAAGCACTTCTAATGGCTTGGCTCAATGGTTACAGGCACACTAACACATGGATGACCGTTGCAATGGACTAACTCAGTTAATAGTGGGACTTTCCATTATCCCCAGGCAGCCAAGGACACTCCCTCTGAGATAGCTTTTAATACATCAGTACAAACAAGTTACACACTGCCCCTCTGCTGTAGTTAGTTGACACCCTATGACATAGCCAGTTACCTCCCATCACCTTGTATGTCTCTATCCATCACACTGTTATCCTGACCTTATCTGTAGGATGGGTCAGTGTGTTCCTGTTCTCTTTGGGGAATGTGTTTGGCATCGAGGTGTTCTGGTACCACCTACCTGGAATGTGCGTGTGTTTATATTCTTATGCCTAGCAGCACTTAGGAATGTGTGTTTCTGCAATATCAGCCCTGTTCTTGCCAGATTCTGGGAGCAGGGCCTGCCTCTTGCTCACAATTTAACTTTGCTTTATAGCAGCAAAGTTTTGACTACTTTAGCCCAGGCCTCAGGCCTCAGACCAGGCCTCTGATACATGGGCTTGCTTCAGGCCCTCTTCCTATGACATCAGCAAGCATGGTCGATACCTCTCAGCAGAGGGGATTCGGGGTCTTCCATGACTCAGAGATCCTCACGGGAGAGCCACCTGGTTGGTAATGGTGACCCTGTTCCTGAGGATGAGGCCCGCTGAGCAGTGCTGGGGATGGCACAGATGAACGCTTTGTGCGCTCTCTGTGGCTGTGACCCGGGGAAGATGATACCGGAGCACGTGTCTAAGAGGATTTCTTTAAGCTGACCCTCTGTTTGGAGGGCTCTGGCCAGAGGACTCCTGTTGGTCCTAGGGCAGGGAGAAGCCTCAGCAGTCTCGACAGCAGGACGTGAGGTCTCCGTGCTCCCTGGCCTTAGAGGAGACTTTTCCCTCCTTTGAGTCTCTCTCTGGTGAATGGGCCTTTTCCTCCTCTGAAGCTTCAAAGTATCCTAAGCTGCACCTAAGCTCTTCAGCCACCGGCGTGCCCCTCGAGCAGCTACACCGATGTACGGGGGTGGGGGGGGAGAGGAAATCAGACCCCACAGCTCTCAGGGAACGCTCCATACGTCTTCCCTCAGCTCCCTGGATCTGCTCTCAAAGCTGGAGCAGCCCCTATACTTAGAGGGGATGTGGGGCTCTCCGAGGTAGCGGAGGCAGCCGGAATGGTCTGTGACAGGTCTGGCAGGGTTTGAACCCAGGGGTTTTGGCCTAACCCACCTGGGGAAGGCCACCAAGAAACGGGCTGAGGTCAAAGCAGGCCCTGATTACAAAGAAAGGGGCGGGGAGCCCCCAAACACCCAAGTCTGTGCTAAACAACAAACAAAAGGAGAAACACGTCCAGAAATAAAAGAATAAAAGTGAGCTGTGCGGCTAACCAGCAGCGCCGTAACGCTCCACCTCGAGCCGCAGACAGCTGGGAAGGAACTGACTTGTGGTGGTGGGTGCACCCCTCCCTCTGGCCCTTTGTACTGGAGCACAAGGATGTGTAGGGCACAGGCATGGATGTGCAGACGCTGCTTCTAGTCCCATTTCTGCCAGCTGGGACCCATGTGCCAGCACCCCTGGAGCCTAGGAAGGGGGGAAAGCACTGGCTACCTTCACCGGGAGCCCTGCACACAGCGGTTGCTAAGAGTGAATGTGGCTCCTGGAGAAGTCCTCCCCTTCCAGGTGCGGCTGGGCCTTGGATCAGCTAAACCGCAGCCCCCAGCCCCCCTCCAGATTCCAAGTGCAGGTTCTGCATACATTCCCTGGGACAGCCCCGTGTTCAGCTGCCTCCGTGGCACAGAACTGCGTGGGAGGAGGCTTGGCTGCTTGGGCTGCTGGCTCAGAGGTGATACAGGAGGCCATTAGGGACTGGGCAGGGAACCAGTGACTTATGCCCCATTTAAACTGTCCTTAGCAGGCGTCGGCTCAGCTCCTGGAGGAGTGGGGAAGCTCACACTTCTGAGTCATGCGTTCAGGCTACTGGCAGACTCCGGAAGGTGAACTGGCATCAGTGACACCTGCTTCAAGTATTCAAGGACTCAGTATCTTCCCTACATGACACCACCATTCTGCAGCAGGAGGCAGACTCTCAGAGAGGAAATACAGGACACCATGGCCTTGTTTACATGGGCGGGTGACTGGGTATACTCATGATTCTGCCATGGACTCACTTAGCCTTGGGCAAGCCATTTCCCCTCTTTGCGCCTCAGTTTCCTCTCTAGAGATGGGGATAACGTGACTCAGCACTTTGAGCTCCGCCTAGGAAAGATGACAGGTAAAGAGAAACTTCCCGTTCCTGAAGAGAGCACATATCTACGCAGCCCCTCGCTAACACCCTTTGGCCAGCTCCACAGATACCAGCTCGAGTCCATCAAACAGCTGTTCTGTGGCCAGCGTGAGAAGTCTGGGACCTTGGCCTAGACAGGCAAAGCACCAGCATGGCTTGGCAAGGAGACTGAGCGCCCCCTCCAGGCCAGGGGTGAGGTGCGCAGGTAAACTGGCAGCGTGACGGACACTGATGCTGCTGCTATGGGTGCAGGGGCTGGTGTGGGGACAAACCCAGCCACCTCCAGGACCAACACCCTGTCACCGGCAGGGCAACTGTGCCAACTGAGACGCCCTCGGACTGAAGTGTGAGGCTGATACAAGGTGCTGACGGGTTTATTGGACGTTGTCTGTGCCTGGACACTCCCACATAGCTACAAGCATTTGGCTGGGCGGGGGAATGGCCAGGAGCAGGCAGTCCCAGGCTCGGCTCCAGACTTACGACCAGGTTTCCATCTGGAAGCGATGGGCTCTTTCCAAGGCTGTTAGATACTCCTCGGCTTCTGAGGGGGACAAGTCCCCTTCCAACTGGAACACGGATTTTAGGGCTTCTGCTACTGCTGCCGGCATTTGCTTGGCATTTCTGGAAGAGAGAAAGTCTCTATTGTAACTGCAAAGCAGAACACAGGACAGTCTCAACACATCAGCCCCTCCAGCTCCCTCGTAAGGCCAGCTCTGTTCATTCCTATCACTGACGGGGCCAGGGCAGGGCTTTCTCTGCAGTCCCCCCATTGCTTCTCCAAGGCCCCATGGTGGGCTGGATACAGCTCTCTCTCACTCCCAGAGCTGCGCAGTAAGGGTTGGTTTCAGCTTTGTTGGCCCGGTCGTGGGACCAAACCCAGCTGTGCTGTCCTGACCTGTACAAGGGCGAGCTCCATCATAGTGACACTCAAGCCCTTTCTCCAGCCCTGCCGTGAGCACGCAGCTATTCCCAGCAGGGCTAACCTGGCTCCCCTTGATGCAACCCATCGGCTGCCTTGCGGGTCAGTTCCTGTGCGGTGGCTTTATAACCACGCATGGCAGCATAGCGCCCCTGGGCACGGCGCTGGACACAGAGCAGCGTACACTTGAACCAATGCGCTCGCCAGACAGGGGGTCCAGCGCCCAGCAGGGAGTATGTGCCTGTGGGAACTCAGCTGAGGCACATGGCTGTGAGCAGGGGTTCCCGGGCATTAGACTCCTCGGCACAACGGGGCAGCCTGTCTGGCTTTGCACTGAGGGAGGCCGGGGGGCTTCCCGGATACATAGACCCAAACCAAACCTTGGGTTCCAAAAGCCGTTGTGGCCATTCCCTGGCAAATGGGGCCACTATCTCAGTTCAGCTCCAAGCTCAACCCTCAAAACCAAGGACACGGCCAGCTACGGAGTCATGGACTCACCTCCCGCACATCACAAACCACAGTATAAAGCCGGGCCGTTTCGTCACAGCGCAGCAGCCTTAAGGCGGCCCTGTAGCTTGTTGGGGTTTTCCGAGTATTATTTCATGTATGTATGTATGTATACATACATCTATTGTCTTTAGAGTGATTTTGATCACCAAGGATCTTCTCTGAAGGGATTTCTTAGGTGGGAGATATCCCTCACTATTTAGTAACTGGCGGTGGAATATGATACCGGCGTATCTAGGGCTGCCACGGATCTTCTGTAGTCTGCAGAAGAGGGTCAGGATAGCAGGAGAGTGTTGGCTTGTTTGGAGTCCAGGGCCGCCCTTATAAACTCACGTGGCTTTGGTTAGCCACCAGCATGGATTTTGGCAGGCTGCCTACCAGCCCTATGGCCTGAATCAATTTGCTGACCACAGTTAGAACTGAAAGGCCTCCTGAGACAATCTACGTTGAATCAGTCAGTCAGCCAGGTGGATACGCAGACTCCCAGTGTCCTGAGCAGAATGCCCATACAGGCAGGCATTCAGTGAAGACCCTTGGGACCATGGACAGGCTGTATGGTAGCACTGGGTGATGATATTGTCTGCCCCTTACTATGAAACAAAGGTCCCCTGCGAGCTGGATGAACCGTGATGTCCTGCAAGGCCAGAGTGACCCGCTCCGGAAGAGGATCTCGGGAGGGCATGAGGGAGGTTCATGTCACTGTCTGGAACTTCAGCTGTTTCCTGGACTTGCCCAGATGTCTGTATCCCACGATGGGGGGCAGTCCTTTCTGCGGGACGCATTACCTTCCATCAGCCCTTCTGCAGGAGTTAGCCACGGTCCTTTGCTGGCTCTACGGCACCTTCATTTATGGGTACGGCCACTGCATCCACTTCTTTGGGCTGCAGGGTGTCAAAGAGACTGTGGGATTTCTCTTGTCTCTCTGACCATTCTGAGTCTAGGTCTGTGAAACTGTGCCAAGCAGCTGGTCAATGAACCTGACCCTCACAACTTTAAACCCAGGCTGGGGGTTTCTAAACCATCTTCGCGAGTTCAAACAGGAATTAATTCAGGGCAGTCCTATAGCCTGTATTCTACAGATCAGAATGGATGACGACGGGTGTGACAGAATATACCGGGGTGGCCAAACTTACTGAGCTGCCAAGCCACATACCACACTCTTCAGAAGTTCAAGAGCTGGGGCACACCAGCTGGGGCTCGGGGCTTCTGCAGCAGCTGGGGCTCGGGGCTTCTGCCCCGCAGGAGGCACCAGCCGGGTTTGGGGCTTCGGCTCTGCTCCAGCTGAAGCCCCAAGGACTTGCAGGTGCTCCCCGTGGGGCTGAAGCCCCGCCACCGCCCTCCATGCTGGGCAGAAGCCCCTACCCCACCACGCTGCTGCAAGGTAGGGATCCCGAGCTCCCCCCAAGTCTGGTAGGTGGCAAATGGGTGGGGGTGGGGCTCTGTAAAAGAGCCGCATGCAGCTCGCAAGTCACAGTTTGCCCCCCCCCCCATGTTCACTACTGTAATAATCTTTGTACACAGCAGGCCTGGCAGGGCATCGTTTGAAAACTCATAATTTGCTGGTCATTATTGTCCTAGTAAAATACGTGTGGCAACGTTGTATGTGAATTACTCACACACGTTCCAAGTCTGGGGAGTGGCCAAACCGGTTCCTCGGAGACAAAGGGCAAGCTGATGCCTCAGCCAGGTGTAAACAAGGTCAGTGGGCTAAGTCAACCTGCTAAGTGGCCAATCTTTAGCAGGAAAGATGAAAACTACATCTTAGCAAAGAAACAGCATGGAGTTCCCGTCCACAGAGTCCGCCTGTCCCTGTGCTCCCAGCAGGACATGCTTCGCAAAGGGAGGACGGGACGATAAAGGGAAGGGGCAGACACCCCAATAGATCCCCTCCTCCTCTCTCTCTTTCTGTGCATCGATTCACTGCACCAGAAGGAACAAGAGAAGCAGCCATTACCCAGAAGAAGGGGTCCTGGCTGAAGATGTTTGGCCAGTAAGACTCTTGAGAGCATAGGGTGAGAAAAGCTTCACCTGGAGTTTCACAGTTTGTTACGTTAGCCATTAGTTGCGTTTTATCCGTATTTGTCTTGTAACATGTCTGACTTTTATGCCTCATTACTTGTATTCACTTAAAATCTATTTCTTTGTAGTTAATAAACTTGTGTTATTGTTTTAGCTAAGCCGGTGTGTTCCAGAAACTCCATCTGGGGTAACAAGATTGGTGCATATCAATCTTTCTGTTCGTACACTGATGGATTTGATATGAGCCTGTCCTGTCCAGGAGAGGGCTGGCAGGACGAGACGTACATTTCTGGGGAACGTTGGGCCGGGAGCGTGCTGGGGCCCGGCAGGATAATGCAGAGCCTGGGTCTGGCTGGGACACACAGCTGAAGCCGGGAGTGACTTACCTGCTGGAGGCTGTTTGTGAACTACAGCAGCAGCAGAGCGGTGAAAAGGGCAGCCCATGCTAGAGGGCAGGGGTGACTGACTATCACTGGTCTGGATTGTGCTCTGGGTGTGTCACAACAGGGTTCCCCACTGGCCTGGGAACCGATGAGTGTGTGTCACTGGGACACCTACCCTAGGGACTGTCTGGCAACACCAACCCCCCCTGAAAGACAAAACGCGGAGTAGGGGGTGGTCACTGCAGTGCCCAGACTCACGGACATGGGTGGCAGGTGACAGACTCTGAGCCCACACACACAAGGCACATGCCCAGACAGGTCTCTCTCCCCTTTGGGTGCCTAGCGCTGGAGCCAGGTGCCTGGGGGTCGGCTCCTCCATTGGAAAACGGTGGCCAGTTGGTCTTTGGGATGATGGAGTTTTGAAATGCTCCCTGAACCTTAAACCGGAGGGTCTCCGGCCAGAGGACACTGCTCATCCAGGCAGCCAGCGGGAGAGGTGCCCCGGGGAGGATGGCGTGTCCTGGGTGGCCAAGGAAGACCTAGTGCGCGCTTCCAGGACTGCAGAGGAGGTCAGTCTCACCCCCAGGATCAGCGAAGAGGTTCCTGTTCTTGTTGTGGATTGGCAGGAAGCTGAGAGGAACGGTCCCTCCTGCTATTGCTATTAATGAGGACAGAACTAACGATGGTCCGTGTTAATGTAGCACTTTACATGCTCCCGGTGCTGGACAGACATTACATCTGCCTTCCCTAGCCCCATTCACCCGCTGACCTCACAGCATTTCCCAGACGTCAGCGATGCCAAGTAACTCCCCTGCATGTGAGACAGCAAGTCTTACCCTCATTCAACAGATGGGGGAATGAAGGTGGACAGATGACGTGACTTGGTGTGGGTCAGCAGCAGAGCCAGGAATAAGCCCAGATCTCCTGGCTCCCCAGCCTTGCTCTAACCACTAGACCCCACTCTTTGATTAACAGCAGTCGGGATTTGACTGGGCTCAGGTCAGAATTCGTGAGCACTAGGTTCTGGGCAGAGATCTCAGGGTCTGTTTCGAGGCAGCTGCACAATGTTTAGCCAGTGACAAGGCTCACGATGCAAGGCAGGGACGGAGTCAGGCAGCACATGGAGGCCTGGCCAGAGGAGAGAGAGGCTGCTCCAGGAAGTCATTCTCCCAGGTACTAACGGAGCGAGGCAGGAAACTCTAAGGAGCTAGGAAAGCTGTCTGACATGGCGCACGGACATGGGTTACTGGTGATTTGGAATCGGATTGGCTCTCCTATGAGATGGGGCTTTAATAGTTTTGTTCTTTCCTGAAGATTATGTTGGGCTCTTCCTTTCCCTGGGCCTTACCCTAGGATCCCAGAGGGCTGTGTGTGTATGGAGGGCCAGGCTTGGATGAGATACTGTGAGCGGCAGTACCACCGCTATGCTGGAGGGGATACTGATTGGCAAAGAGAAGCACACCCTTCTGAAGGAACTGGCAATGACCACCAGGAACATGTTGCCAAGAAGACTGGAAGTCTTAGGGTCTGGCTGGCTGTGTCTTCACTCCTGTAGTCCCACACAGCAATGGTGGCCCCTGCCGGCAGCTGGCAGACGTCCTCTCTCGTCTCGGATGTGGGCCACACCGTGCTCACTCGTGTCCGTCACCCTCAGCCACATTAACGTAGCTCTGTTTGGGGCTGAAAGCCTCAGCTGGTGCAGGATGGGCCGGGGGCACACGGACAGGTATACGGTGTGCGCTCTGCATTGGTTGACAATTGCCTGCTGAGTGCCTGGCTGTTTATAAGGCCCT